ATCACCTTATATTTGACAGGAGCGAATCGCATGCGAAACATTCGAAGACTGCTCTTCAAGGTGTTCAGAAGACTCTGCTCAGTTTTCTCAGCGTTTTCACCTAGGAGGAAGGACTATATCATCTGGATATATTCTAAGTCAACGAGATTATTCCCTGATGGTAACCAGTCAATCCCTGAGTCGCTGAAGTCAGTTAGGGTTAAGTCCATCAGTACATCTATGATGAAACTAAACAGAAGTTATGGGGACAGTCGGCATCCCTGACGGATACCACTGGTGGTTGCAACCACTTCAAATGACAACTCTCCTTTTGCTCTCACCTGGCTGACTGCATGAGTTCGAGTAGAGTGCCTTGATCAGTTGCAATGCATTTTCTCGGCATTTCCTCCCTTCACAGACCAACATCGCCACAGTACCTCTCGGTCAGCGGAATCGAATACCACCTCCAGGTCAAGAAATATGACGATTGTTGGACGCCGCCAGTAAGTATACCCTTGTCCCAGAATCTGTCGAAGGATGAAGATATCATCAATACACTCTCTTCCTGGTCTAAAGCCTGCCTGGTTCTCTCGTGTTTGTTCCTCCCGAGCACCACTTAGTCTACGCATGATTATTGAGCCTAGAACTTTAGATACCATATTGGTCAAGCTAATCCCCCTGTGATTATCACAGGAAGACTTGTCTCCCTTCTTGTATATCAAGATAATCAATGACTTACACCGGCCCGACGGGAGTGGTTTAAAGTACATTTACAACACACTGAAATTATACAATCTCTAGACATCCCAAACTAAGCGTGATAATATGCACGATGGAAAAACAATGAAGCTTTTTACAAGAAGAATAAGAGAAATATCACACACTAAAATGTAACCATTCACAACGAGGTTACAAAAACTCTAAAAGGATTTTTCTAAAACTTCATTCGACTTATGAATAGATTTTATAAATCCACTAATTCTAAGAGACGTTAAAAGCGATACGTACAATCGTAGCTACCATAGTTTGAATAATTATTTGGGACTTCACTGATGAATACGATGATTTGATAATAAATCCACTACGGTGTCTTTTCTAATGAGACAAACTGAAAAAAAAACCAAAAGTTCCAACTACTTGGTTGGATTAATAACAAGTATAATTGCTAGGAAACCTCGCCTAGATTACTAGGTCACTAGTATTCTAGCCGGTCCCAAGCCCGGATAAAGAGGGAGGGTTGGGGCGTGGTGCTAGCAACTCCACCCCCAAAACTTAACCAAATTGCTACTAAAACTTCAACGCACAAATATATTCAAAATTCTAAAATTACAAATAGTGACCTTATTTTTCGCTGGAATCGGGGAAGTGAAATGACGCGGGCTGGTGAAAGCCTTCGGGAAGCCAGTCAGCCGATGTGCCTTCTTTCGATGAAAGCGAAAATAAGGATGGGGACGTGGAATGTTCGTACAATGTACGAAGCTGGGAAGGCTGCTCAGGTAGCCGCAGAAATGAGGAGATATAGAATAGAAGTGTTGGGAATCTGTGAGAGCAGATGGAACGGATGTGGAAGGAGCCAACTATCAACTGGAGAGACAATAATCTACTCCGGTCACACAGAGGACAATCACGAGCACACCGAGGGAGTAGCCATCATGATGTCACCAACAGCGGCTAAAGCTCTCATGCAGTGGGAACCAATCTCCTCCAGGATAATGACAGCCAGGTTCAACTCAAAAGGAAAAAAGGTTACAATCATTCAGTGCTACGCGCCTACAAACGCCTCAGAACATGAGAAGAAGGAGGATTTCTACAGTCAATTACAAACAGTAATGGACAACGTCCCAAAGAGCGATATCAAAATCCTGATGGGCGACATGAATGCGAAACTGGGAGGAGACAATACAGGAAGAGAACTCACCATGGGTCGTGAGGCCCTCGGTGAAATGAACGAAAATGGCGAACTCTTCTCAGACTTCTGCGCCTTCAATGATTTGGTGATTGGTGGCAGTGTGTTCAAACACAGGGATATACACAAGGCAACATGGATTTCACCAGATGGACACACCAAGAACCAGATAGACTTCATTTCAATCTCAAGGAAGTGGAGACGGAGCCTACTTGACACAAGATCGAGGAGAGGAGCAGATGTGGGTTCAGACCACTATCTGGTACAAGGGACTTTCAAGGTGAAGCTGAAAGCCTCGAGGATACCTGGGGATAGGCCACAATGCAAGTTCAACACTCACAAACTGAAGGACACAATCACACAGGACATTTTCACTGCAACTGTCAGAGCAAAGCAGGAAACACTGCGTGGCACCACTGAAGAATCATCCGTGGAAGACCATTGGAACTCTCTGAAGGTGATTTTCAACGAAACGTGCTCAACGGTTCTAGGAAGAAAGAAGAAACAAGACAAGGAATGGCTCTCAACAGACACTTGGAAACTAATAGAGGAGAGGAGAAAAGTGAAAGAGAAAATGATTCAATGCAAAGATGGACAAGAGAAAGAGACGCTGAACTCAACTTACACAGCACTGGACAAAGAAGTGAAGAAGAGTGCCAGGAAGGACAAAAGACAATTCTACGACAACCTGGCTACTGAAGCTGAGAAGGCAGCAGGCAAAAGGGACCTGAGGACACTATATCAGATAACCAAGTCTCTATCCGGGAAGAGATCAACACAAGTGAAACCTATAAAAGACAGCCAGGGGAACCCAATTACCAAAGAAGAAAGACAGATTAAACAATGGGCGGACCACTTCAAAGGACTCTTGAACCGACCACCACCTACAACCCGTCCAGTAATACCAACAACAGCACGTACACAACTGCAAGTTGACACCAATCCTCCAACGAAAACTGAAGTCATGAATGCAATCAAGCTTCTGAAAGCTGGAAAAGCAGCTGGACCAGATGGAATACCCCCGGAAGCACTGAAAGCGGACCCAGAAACGACGGCAGATATGCTGACTCCATTATTGCAAAAGATCTGGAAAGAGGGAAAGGTGCCTACTGACTGGAGGAAAGGTTACCTGGTGAAACTACCAAAGAAGGGCGACCTGGGACTCTGCAAGAACTGGCGAGGAATCATGCTCCTGTCGACGCCAAGTAAAATCCTGAGTCGCATCATCCTGGAGAGAATCAAGGACGCGCTGGATACAGAACTCCGACCAGAACAAGCTGGATTCAGGAAAGGCAAATCATGTTCTGACCAAATTGCAACTCTACGCATTATCATCGAACAAAGCATGGAATGGCAATCAAATCTCTACCTCAACATCATAGACTTTGAGAAGGCCTTCGACAGCGTTGACCGCGAAGTAATTTGGAAACTACTCGAGTACTACGGCGTACCCCAAATATTCATCAACCTTATTCAACAACTGTACGACAACGGCACATGTCAAGTGATCCACAACGGAAAACTCAGCGAAGCGTTTGGAGTAAACACAGGAGTCAGATAAGGGTGCTTATTATCACCAATGATATTCCTAATTGTGGTGGACTGGATTATGCGTCAGACAGTGGGAAACGAGAAGACAGGGATATCCTGGACCGACGTGAAGAACCTACAAGACCTGGATTTCGCGCGTGGATGATTTATGTTTGATGTCACAAAAAATCGAAGACTTACAAGCGAAAACCGACAAACTGGTCGAAGAAGCAGCCGGAAGACAGGACTCCAGGTGAACATAGACAAGACGGAGGTTATGAAAATAACCAACCAACAACAGCAGCAACATCCAGTGCCAATCACCATCAACGGGAGGGATTTGAAAGAGGTTACTTCTTTCACTTATCTGGGGAGCATTGTCTCAACCACAGGAGGAACGGACGAGGATGTCAAATCGAGAATCGGGAAAGCGAGAAACACATTCATCAACCTGAAACCAATCTGGAAATCTTCGTCACTCAGCATCAACAACAAAATTCGGATTTTCAATACAAACGTCAAGTCAATTTTGCTTTACGGATCAGAAACTTGGCCAGTGTGTCACCAAGAATATTTTCAACAGGTTGCAGACCTTTATCAACAACTGTCTTCGCTCCATACTGAAGATTAGATGGCCAGAAAGAATCACAAACAAGAAGCTATGGGAACAAACGAAACAGGAACCAATCGCCCAACAAATATGCAGGAGGAAGTGGAGATGGATTGGACACTCGCTGAGGAGGCCGTTGAGTGACATCGCGCGTCAAGCCCTCGAGTGGAACCCGAAAGGGAAGCGGCGAGTGGGACGTCCAAGGGTGACATGGAGGAGATCGTGTGAGGAGGAGATGAAACAGTATGGATTAACATGGATGCAAGTGAAAAGAACAGCAGAAGACAGAAGCAAGTGGAGACGTGCAGTTGAAGCCCTATGTTCCACTAGGAACCCAAGGGAACAATAATATAATAATAATAATTGCTAGGATGGTATTTAAGACTACAATCCGGCCTCCCCCCTCCACCTCTAATTTTGGGATGGTAGGCGAAAGCATACGAATATAGGCACAAATATTAAGTTTAAATTACCCGCCATCTCTTGTAAACCTAAGTAATACGAATTTTATATCCAGTTAACAGGCTATAGGGGATTGAAACGTTAATTATAAATAAATCCCCTTAACAGATTTGAAGATGTGGCTCATTTTTCTGAACTTGATTCCTGGAAAAGATTTTTCATACAGCAGGCTAAGAGCCACCACCTATCCCTGTGAGGACAAGTGATACTACCCAGTTGCCTGTGTTGAAGTAGGTGGGGCGGGACTCGAACCCGTGACCCATCGATTAAAAACCGAGCGCTTAAGCCAATGAGACACTTCTCCATAGATGTGACTCGTGGGTACTAACTCAGCTTTTAGCTAATGGGTCTAGTGTCCAAACACCGCATCACCTACATCAGCCTGAGTAACTTGTATTATCATCAGCCCTCAGGCAATCAGCATGACTTAAGCTTGATACATGAAAGACCCACATATACAAACGGCTAGACAGCTGGAAAACCAAGGGTATAAAGTAAAAAAAACGGACTTACTAATTTTCTTGTCTTCTAAACTATTCCAATACTTTTGATTGTCTAATTGGTCTGTATCAACACTAATCGGTGTTGTACCATTGATCCAACAAAATGCATTAATATACGGTCCCAGATTAGAACCCGAGAATGTAGTAGGTATATAACATGACAATGGCTCAAAGACATACGATTTCAGTGTAACAATAGTGAAACACATAACCAGAATAATAAACGATAACATGTAAGAGCATCGGTCGGCAAAATCATCTAGACCGACTGAATCAACAAAATGAAGTTTATCCAACTGGGAAATAAATTCCAAAGCAACCATTTTGATAGCTACACAAAAGTAAGCAAAAGAGAATGGAGAGAAAAAAATTTAAACTTTAAAGTAAAGTATATGAAATAATTGAAATTAAACATATACAATCTTATTTTTAAAAGAATGGATACTGAACAAAGAGTACTCTTTTCGATAACTTCATCATCACGCTCTACAGTTATATATACATTATAGTGAATGAATGAATTAGTGTTATGAACAACATTAATGTTGTTTAAATAACATCGAATCAATAATATTGATAGATTACAGCTCAATAGCATCAACATAAAATAAGCTGAATGTCAGAAAAATTAGAAAGATAATATTACAAATTCATGAATTTATAGTCTCTACTGAAGGCCGACTAGGGCAGTAGTAGGGGCTGGACTTGCTTCTTTTGAACACAGAGCACTGGTTGTTTGAGGCGAATTGCAATAGCCTCTGCTGTTTGGAGCATGCGGTGATTCGATGATTTTGGCAATTTATTAGGCACCCGGTAGATGATGGAGAAGGACTCTTCCACGCTGGCTGACTTTGTGGCCGGTTTGCACCAGATGGTCCAATATCGAACTGTTAATGGTTTTCACTACACCTTTACTTAGCCATAGTGGGAGATGTTCTCGAGTGAGCACGAAAAATCAAGTTCCTAGAGCAACGGCCAATATAACTCGCTCCACAAGCGCAACAGACTTTAAGTAGAACATACTCGCTCCATAGAAGGACTAGATGCAAATCCTAACTCGAAGAGCATTGAAAGTAGTAGTGTGTGCACCTAAAAGAGTTAATACTTCAAAACTAATCCACTAAGCAACATATCCGAACTTGAATACTTAAGTATTATAAACACACCGAGATTTCAAATCGTCCCCAGAAGGTGGGTAGACCCTTGTCCTCCTCTCTGAATGTTCTTATTCCACTCAATCCCTTTAGGCCACGATGGGTGTTCGTCACCAAACTGGAAGAGCCAATTCGAAATTTTTATGCTTACAATTGAACTACTAGTGGACATGCAGGTTTACCTAGGGGAGGTGAAAAACCCTCATTCCAAAACTATTGTTTACATGGTCTCTAGAATCCCAACAGATAGAATGGCATATAAATCTATTTTAGTTACCGGTAGCCATGGTGACGTAGTTCCTGACAGTGTTCCACTGTCTTGTGTATTAGACTTTAAGTCAAATGCTCGAAGCGTAGCCCCATAAGACAACGACCTCCTTTAATCAGGACGCCTGGCCTGGGCAATATCCCTGACCTCGTACAAATTGAGATTTTGTGTGATACATCTTTTGGCACCGATAATGTATCAAATTTTGCGTTATAATAATGATAATAATAAACATTTTGTGAGATTAATTTTGTTTTTCTTTTCATTTACTACTAACCATCGTGTGAATTCAACCATTCTTTATCTCACAACTAGAGTCAAAATATCCCTCAGATTTATTAACTATGACAAGGAGGTTCACTAGACTAACTATAGCTCCTAATGTTGAATTTTATACGGCATATCTATATCATTTAGTACGCTCAGTATGATTTAACTACCACAAAATTAAAATGTTTATAATCTTTGAGGTGATCAGTGTATTACGTAAGCAGAGATGACTCCACTAGTGATTTGCGATTACCTACATTCAGGTCGAATCGAATATAGAGTACTGGAATTTCAAAAGTAAGTAACTAAACTATCAGTTGCACTTATTCTTGAGGATAGAACGCAGTTGTACAGTCTGAAACAGACGGAGTGGCGTTCGAAAGTGCAACTCACTGGTCAGACGTTATTGAATGATTAAACCGACTAGTTACGTATCTTCTCATAGGACATAACAAAGAACTATAAATAATTAATGCTAATCTTGGTTACACATTTCTATCAAAGGTTCAATGAAATTCAATTTACCAACCACTTGTAAACTTGCCTCAGTTATCCATAAAAGTTCTTTTAGTTATCAAGGTATGAGCTAAAACTATTACAGGGGGAGGGAGGCTGGTAATACTACTCAGTTGTCCAGACCAAATTAGGTGGGGCAAGATTTGATCCATGGACCCACCACCGACTGAAAGCTGAGCGATTAAGCCAATGAGATACATCTGTACACTTAAAGCAGTAGCTGTCCACAAATCTGTAGTAAAGACCTCAAACCATATATATATAAAGTTGAACTACATTGACACCTGTCTTGACTATACCAAATGCATCTGCTTTGAAAATGTAAGTTGAAAATTAACTTCCTGAAGTACTAAGCAGCAAATTTAATAGACTTTAAGGTGAATAAAATGAATCAATGTTACTCAGTACCCACTTGCGATTTCCATGCAGTTGGCAATGGGTCTCACCGACTATGTGAAGGATAGTGGTACTGCATGGCTGCCCAAAACCCGATGATAGGTGGAACGAGTTTTGAACCTGTGATCCACTAATTCGAACGCTTAGACCGATGACCTACACAGCTTTACACTTTAAAGTGACTAGTATATATCGATGTACTGGAATTACTGCTTAAAATCTAATTACACCATCATCCATACAGTAACAATTTCTTTATACACAGAAAACAACTTACATAAGTACTTGAATAAATCAAGCCTAACACGAACAATGAAACTACGTAATTAATAACCTCACACAATGTATTCACAGTAAACAGTGTCCTTTAAATGTGACAACAATACACCTACGTAAATGATAACATGTGCATAAACAGTCAAGGACACACCAATTGGAATGACGTATATTCAATTAAAAATTCGAATAATTCCAGGTATCATGAGAAAATGTGATCACTTTAGCCAACAAAAATCACATTTTATTGTTGTGTTTGAAAACAAGTTGACTAAAAATCATATAAACTTGAATAAATAATTCACAACAGGCTATAATAAAAATTCCTGTAGCTTACAGTCCAATTTTTGTGTCAGACAGGTTAGGTAGGTAGAGAGATCAAATCAATGGGTTAATACACATGATAGTTTATATTTTTACCACACTGTAGTGGCATTGGTTCGCTATTTGGCTTTAACAGTGGGGGAGGAGGGGGTACTAGGTTGGAATTCTACCTATGCTATCAAAGTTTAAGTCGCTTCACCAGCCTTCACATTACAGATCAGAGGTATACACTTATCAGTGTCTGATGAGCTTGTTTAATGCACTACAACCACACTGACACTGACAACTAATAATCCAAAGCAAACACACCTTGATGTAATTAACACTTTTCACATAATGACAGATTTAAGAAAACTAGCAGTCTAAAAAAGTCAGCACTTTTTTTATCCGCAATGGTACATTTAACTCGGTGACAGCCTAAAAAAAGTTCTACTGGCTTTTAGACTTTCTAGAAGATACTTACAAATATGTATTGTGTTCACATAAAAAATAATACACCTGACTTTTTACTGTCAAGGTCACTCATTATTGTTAGAAATGCAGAACAATTATCTTAATCCCTCAACCCAGCCAAAAATTTCACCAAACAACAGAAAGCAGTATCTTAAGTGGACCAATCCCAGGACTTTTGACCTGAAGCCTTAGACGACAGTTTTCTGTCTGTCTGTCTGGATTCAACATAGAACTTGGCACCGAAGTGCAGCAGTTCCAGTTGCCACGTTCCAAATAGCACACAAAGGTAGACAAGAAGATGAGTGAAGAGAATTAATAGAGTTTCGACAAGTATAAGAGTGAAACAGAATGAGTAATGGTAGAAAGGAATATGAAAGATTACGGAGACTGAATACATCTGCGCCATTGACAACGATTTTGAGCCATGTCACCTATTGTCTCCAGCCATTGATTCTTAGAGTCCCGAGTGCCCCAACCCGGAAGTCTGCATCTCCCTACCTGACTCAGTTTAACTGTCAAGGATTTCATGGATTGATGCCATGTTTTTGTTTGGCCACCACTTACTCTTTTCCAACCTGCACCTATATCAGCTAGTAATGCCCGTCGGGGGAGGCGATGGTTAGGGATGCGCAGCACGTGACCTAGCCATCTCAATCTATGTAACTTTATAGCCTCTTCGATTGATTTTCTCTCTTTGCCCAACACTCTACGCCTAACGTCAACATTACTTACCTTATTATACCCCCTAACGTGGGAACGAGATCGTAGACATCTATGATCAAAAACAGTCAACCTTTTCATGTCTTCAACTCGTATTGGCCATGTTTCAGAGCCATAGAGAAGGACGGAACGAACTGCTGAGCAGTACACACGTCCCTTGGTTGATAGCCAGATGTCACGCCTACGCCAGAGATGGCATAATTTAGCGAAAGCAGCCCGAGCTTTTTGGATCCGTGCTGAGATTTCGTCGCCAATCAGTCCGTTGGTGCTGATACAACTTCCCAAATAGGTGAAATGGTCAACATGTTCTATCACTTCACTCCCTATCACTAAGCTAGGAGTTGACGACACACGACAGTTTTAGCTAAGTATGGGCCAGAAACCTTGCCTACTGTACTAACTACTCCTAAGACCCAAAGAGAAGGAAAGGTGAACTGTAGAGTCACCGACTGTACGCAATAAAAAATAGCCCTATCGCTATGGAGCACAGAAAAATACAAAAAATGAACTTATTCTTCACTGAAATTGGAGGAGGGGAAGAAAGACGCTGGCTGGTGAAAGCCACCAGGAAGCCAATCAGTCGATGAAAGCAAAAGTAAGCATAGGGAAAATTAATGGCCTGCACGATGCTGAGATCAACTGAAAAAGCTACCCAGATTGCAGGGGAAGTGATAAGATATAGTATGGAACTGTTAGGAGTCCTTGAGAGCAAGTGGAATGGATGTGGACTCTTCGAATTTTTAGCTGAGATGTCAATGACCTACTCCGGTAACCCAGTCGACAACCATGAACATACACACGACGTGCCTATCATGATGTCACCAACAGCATCGAAGGCTCTTAAGCAGTGGAAATCGATCTCCCCAGGATGACAGCAAGATTCTACTCAAAAGACAGTTTTAAGTATACAACGCTACAAACGACGCAGAACAGGACAAGGAATCGGACCTTTACAGATGAATAACAGCAAGCAGCAATGGACAAGACCCCAATCAGACGGCGACATCAAAATCTAATGGATGATATGAATGCAAGGAAGACTGGAAGCAGACAACACAGAAAAAGAACTCATTATACATCGCGGGGCACTAGCCCCGTGAAATGAATGAGAACCCAGAACTCTACAGACTTCTGTGAATCTAATGACTTAGTTACTAGAAAGCAGTATGTACAAGCACAACGACATCCACAAGACATGGGTTTCATCAGATGGACACACTGAAAATCAGATAGACGTTATCTCAATCTGAAGAAAGCGAAGTTGTAGCCTATTGAACACAAAGTCGAGAAGATGAACAGATATAGGCTGAGACCATTATGTACCGCAAGGGACCTACAGGGTTAAGTTGAAAGCCTTCAAAGGAACAGGAGATAGACCACAATTCAAGTCCAACATATGGAGGCTGAAGGACGATAATACAAAGGATGCCTTCACCGAAGTCATCGGGAAAAGGTTGGAGATATTGAGCAGCATCAGCGGAGAAACCTGAGTGGGAGAACACCGGAGCTCTCCGAAAGTAATGTGGGAGGAAACCTGTATCGACATCTTAGGCGGGAAGAAGAGTTGTGATAAGGAATGGCTCCTGAACATCTGAAAGCTTATAGAAAGGTGGTGAAACAGATGATCCAGTGCGGAGATGAACAACAAAAAGGGAAGCTGAGTACAACCTACAGTGCACTGAAAACATGAGTGTGCCAGGAGAGAGAAGTGACGTTTTTACAACACACTGGCAACTGAAACAGAATCAGCTGCAGGTAAAAGAGATATCACAACATTATATCAAAAAACCAAGTGGCTATCCGGGAAGAGATCATAGCAGATGAAGTCAGTGAAATATAGTGAAAGCCCAGTTAAAGAGGTGAAACAAAGGAAACCATAGGCCGATTACCTCAAATGGACTCCCGAATCGACCACCATTTGCAACGCATCTAGAAATACCATCACAATATACATGAATACCAGTGAACACCAACACTCCGACAAAACAGTAGCCCCGAAAGCCATTAAATTACCAAAAGCCGGGAAAGCAGCAAAACTAGATGGAATCCACCGGGAACACTGAGTACAGAGCCCCGAAGATCTCAAAAAACAATCCCACACCACAACTGCAGGTGTAGAAGAAAGGAAAGGTACCTACCGATTGGAAGAGTAGACAAGTCAAATTGCCGAAGAATGGAGAATTTAGTCTGTGCACGAACTTGCGCAGAATCATGCTCCTGTCCACGCCAAACAAAATATTGGGCCACACACCTAAAACATACTCAGGATGAAAAACTCCGCCCGGGACAAGTTAAATTCAGGAAACAAATCATATGCGAACCAAACTGCAGCACTACGTACCATCGTCGAACAGAGCATAGAATGGCAGTCAAGTACCTACCTCAACTTCGTCAACCTTAAAAAGGCCTTTGACAGCGCCGAAGCCGCTTCAGCATTCAGGAATATGGTGCTGCAAACCTTTATAAACCTCATTCAACAGTTATATGACGGTGTCACATGCCAAATGATACACTACAGAAAACTCAGCGAAGCGCTTGAAGTGGAGACAGAAGTAAAACAAGGCTGGCTACTATCACCGATGACCCTTCTAACTGCAGTGGACTGCCTCATGCGTCAGACTGTGGAGTGAGCAGACGGGTATGCATTTGTTCGACAAAAAGACCCCCAGAAGATCGGGATTTCGCGGATGGATTGTCTCGTGACACTAGCAACTACCAATATCAGTCACCTACAACGAAAGAAACCTAAATGAAGTTTTCTCTTTGTTACCTTGCTATTGTCGTATTAACTACCAGCAGGCGGCGAGGATGCGGATGTCAAAGCTAGTCAAGATCGGAAAAGCACGACAGACATTCATCCAGTGCGGAGATCTTCAACACACAGACTAAGGACAAAGTATAAGGAATTTTCAATACTAATGTCAAGTGAATGCTTCTATATACCTCAGAGATTTGGCGCGCCATCAGACGTATTTCCAAGTCTGCTGCTGACGTCCATCAGCGGTTGCTTTCAACCAATATTGAAGATCAGACAACTGTCAAAATGGGTAAGCAACAAGGAAGCATGGTAGAGAACCAAGGAAAAAGTGATTACCGAGCAAATGTGCAGGAAGTGGAGATGAACTGGATATATGCTACGGAGACCACTAAGTGATGCCACACGCAAGGCAGGTCATCAAGTGGGACCCAAATAGAAAGTGATTTCGGCGTCCGATGGTCATATGGAGATCATGAGGAGAGAGAATGAAAGCTTGTGAGTAGTCGTGGAGTCAGCGAAAGAAGATGGCAGATGAAAAAATACAATGAAGATATGGTGCTGAAGCTCTGCATTCTACTCGGAGCCCACGGGTCGGATAATATAACGATCAAGATTACCTACATTAGCCAGCCACTTGATCATGGTTTACTAACGAGTTGTAAGGGTAAAACTAATTACAGCGACTATGACAGTAATCACACTGAAGAAATTTTGAATGCAGCACCACTTCTAACAGCAGATTTCCTCGCTAAATGAGGCAGATTTATTTTGCTGCTGAGTTTATGTTCAATAAACACTGACTTAGTTAAATAAGAAATTACCCCGGCTTCTCATAGCCAGGTAAGACTCTGGAAGCAAGTATACACAAAAAGTTGTCTACAATTAACTTGCACTTGCCCCCATAAGCGACCTGGTACAGTCGAGAGTGCCTACACTTCAATCCCCCTGTCCGAATGTTCTCATGTAGCCACGCCTTAATAGACTTTGCCAGATAAGTTCTATTCACTCACTACCTTCATGTCACGGTGGGTGTTCGTCACAAAAGTGAAATGGCCAACTCGAACATTTGACGTTGGTGAACATTCTGGTCTACATAGAGAAGCTGGAAAACCCTGATTCCAAAACTATGGTGTACATGAACTCTAGAGTCCCAACAGATCGAATGGCGTATGAAGCTGTTTTGATCACCAGAAACCAAGGGAACGTAGCTTCTGACGATGCTCCACTGCCTCGTGGACCAGACTTCGAGTGAAAGGCTCAGGATGGGTGTGGCCCCTTAAGACAACCAGCTGCTTCGGTCTGAACATCCGGTCAGTATCCAAGCCCTTGCACAAAATATGATATTTTATGTGGCGTATTTCTTGGTTCCCATAATGTAACAAGTTTGTGTTACAATAATAAATTATCAAAAACGACAGGGTACTCGTTAGGCAGTGTCCACATAAATTATATGCTATAGCCGGGGATGAATGGACTCCGATCTTTTCATCAAAATGCTCTCTTATGGCCAAGTATTCATAGACCCAGTCAGTGAAGTCCTGTCTATGGACTTAGGTGAATATCTAAGGTTCATCATCAGACTAATGGACATTGAGGGTTCATCAAGGGAAGTTAAAAATACGAATTATTAGCCTCGGTAAATATTTAGGAACATCGGTCCTAACGGTCTACTGTAATCAGTTGATTTGGTACAGAGACAGATGGACAGACAACCCCACATAAATCCCAAGGATTCCAGCTGGACAATTGTTCTTGTCTACAATACGCAAAATAAAAAACTTAGTTTTTTTTCCTACCCGCAAAAAATCAAGTCATGCTCGATGGACAAATAAAATACTCGAAGATACCACCACCTTCAGATCCCTGCGAGTGTTTATTAAGCATATTTTAATAGTTCCAATACTATCTGATCTACTTTTCAGCGATTTTCTCTTTGAATTATTATGAAATATAAGTGTTTTTTGTTTATAGCTTGAAACCACACAGCATTTTGGTACAAGTATGGAATTTTCAGCATGTGATATCGGTAGCCCAAATTTTGCAGGCCGACCATAGATATCGGGTGTGCGTCGGCAGGGGATCGAACCCCGGACCATGTGCACGGTCGGCGAGCGTCCTAACCGCTGTGCCACCGACGCATATGATTATGGGCAATAGTTTGTGCTCGAAACGTTATCAGTTAATATTACTGTATAACATTGTGTGATTTATCAAAATAAAATCTTATCCATAATGGAGTTAAGCTTAATGAAGTTAACTTAGTATAGATTCAGACGCAGTGGTGAGAAGTAGTACAACAAACACGATGAGCCATATGTATGCACTCTTATTAACATGAATTTGTGGATCATCGGCTCAACTACGACTTTCAGGGAAGGGAGTTTGAATCTCACTCCACTTACTTCAGCCTGATCGACTGGAGAGCATAATCAGCCCCCTCACAATATAACTTTAGAGGCTGAGGGTGTTGACGCTACAGATGTAACTCATAGCGCGGTGTCAGGTGAGTAACTAATTAACTCTTACCAAAATAACTATTGCATGAGGACTCCTTCGAAGTGAGTGAAAACACAACAAACAGCACACTCGTAAATAGTGATGGTAACTATAACCTTTGGAAGATCTTGAGAGATGAGAAAGAATTGTGACAACCAATGCATTCCCATGCAGCCACCAATGAGCTATACCTATTGTAGGAGAACAAGTGATACTATCTGGCTACCCAAACTTTGGTTGGTAGTTGGAATCTGGGACCACGGTTGAATTCCAGAAGGTATACATCAATGAACCACAAGCTCTGCTTGCTGTATGAATCAGAAATGTGAAATAAGATATTTCTAACAATGAACACTTAGAGAAAGTACAAGAGTTTATTTGCTCAAAAACCCAAAGGTACCCATAAGACAGCTGCACATCTGACTACGTTCTTAACTTTACGCTTGTGACAGATTAAGAAATAGTGTTTTATAACTGATTACTTATCTTATGGACAGTAGACAACAAACTATAAAATGGAACTGAACCTAGTCGATTTATTATCCCGACATTGGATGGATTATGCAACACACGTTCAGATGTAGACAGGCTATGTGCCTAAAAGTAAACTGAGCTAAGTGACCTAGTCACTAACAATGAAACAAGAATCAAAATTAATTCCTAGAGATAACCCTACACAGTTTTCTGCTGTTACAACTCTTTACCTCTCTTTTCTACTTGAGATAATTTCTTATTTATTCAGATATCTGAATGTTCTAAAATTTTCGTTGAGATGGAATATCATACAAAACACAAGGAAATTGCTTTTCTAGTATACAGCATATTCACACAAACACACATTATCGACAACACGCAGCTAAACTACAGAGTGATTCCAACTGTCATACCTCTTACTTTCAGTCCATGGTTAGATGAACCCAAATCGAGTAATCTGAACTACCCTATATTGATCCTGCTAACATGAGTTATTAGATTGCTACCATATTAAATTTTAGTCCCTCAGATAGCATAATTCACTGAGGCAGATGACGGACATCCATGAATGACACATCCCAACCAGCTCAGTTGATGGTGTTTCAGCTTCACTAGCTGAAACCTAAAAATCCAAGCCAAATATCTACATAGATAACTTGATTCTCACGAACAGGGGCATTTGGAAAAAGTCAACTGTCATCAAATACTTAGTCTTCACAGATGCACCTTCAATTTAAAGGGACCACAACCATGTTGAAGGATGGAGCACACTTCTATGTAGTACATCGAAATCTAAGTAGAATATTCAATATGCGCCGACTGCTTACTAGGGTGTCTCAGGAGTGTTTTGTAACTTTATCGAGATTCCAATGACCATTAACTAGTCAGAGTTGATCCCACTTCACAGGTAAGATAAGCACACAATCTCCTGAGAGGAGACACATGTCTACTCAGAGGAGGAAACGAGAACATGTATGGAGAAATTGGGTGAAAATGACCAGTGCTGATACGTTAATGATACTACAGAATGTAGATATGCTACAAATAAAGGCACAGAACCTTTAAGAGGTATATACTGTTATCAGAAATCTCAATCGATGAAGTTAGGTGTTGTTTTACACACAATACTGCTGTGATATATCGGCGAACATACACTTCAACAGAATACACAGGAATCTCTACATTATGTTAGGAATCACCTAGGCATTTACAAGTATATTTGGACACCTGAGATCATACGCAGTTAGTCACAGACAAGAACTGAACATGTCATAGAGTTGTGAAACCAACCAGTTCTGATCGGATTATTATCGCAGTGCTATTAAAAGTGATTAATGCTGCTATAACTGCTTCGCAATCCCACAACACAAATGCTTACCATAAACTGCTGTATGGAACCATCTTAAGATTCAATGATTAATGTCAATAGGACTTCAATTTGCACTACGCGGCATGTGAATGCAAAAAATGCAAATCAGTAACCCAGGTCTAGTCGAGAGAACCAATATGACACAGTAATCTAGACAATTCCTATCTTATGTGCTGAGTCTTTCTGAACTAGTTCAGATTGTGCATCGAAGCAACTCTACAAACTAGAAATCAAATACTTGCAAATTGTAGTATATGCTTGAGGGTATTTTGAACAGTGAAATCATCCACAGCTCTTATTTAGGATTACGGTATGCCTAGATGCACGCACGTAACACGATTTATTCCTAATTTCAAATCCTATTCTCCATTTGATTGTATAAAAAAAGCATTTAGACTGTGCAAAAACAACACAAATGTCCATTCCACTTAACTAACCTTAGTCAGGAAAACCACTATGCATTTGTCCGGCTTAAGAAACGCCCAAAGAGAACTAAAAAATAAGCTAGTTGCCTTTGTGTGTACAAAAAGACATGTAACAAAGCCTGATATGTTTGGCCTTGAAAAACAAAAAGGTCATGGCTACAATTGACCAATCATATGCGCTTTACTCTCGTTAACTTGTATACCTACATGTCTGTTCTAGATGTGTCTGTTAACTGACACTCGGTAAACAT